CATACACAAGGAATCACTCAATATATAAAAAATAATAGAGGTCAGATATATACATTACATGTGTGAAATGTTTTAATGTGAAAACATGAAAGTCTTTATTGTGGTGCAGGGTTAATTATCATATGTGCATAAAGAGGGAGGAGTTGAAAAGTTTGATAGCCATAAGGAGGAAGGACTTCCTGTGGAGCACCTCGTTAGGAGGTGGTAGCCAGCCCCAGAAGTCCGTGGGGCTCCGACCCAGTTGTGCCTCAGACGGGGCCCAGAACTCCCTCAGACTCCCCTGGAGTGAAGGGGATGTCTTGCTGGATGAAACGCAGTCCTGAGGTGTCCCCACTTCTTGGGACGGCAAGCCACTGGCTTTCCACCTCATATCCATCATGGGTAATGAGATGATGGACATCTCCCGGTAGGATAAAACGTCCTTCTCCTGATGAAAGAAATGACTCTCGGTGCCAACAAGGTTTTTTTTTAAAATACACTTTTTTTAATTTAGTTCACGAATCTGAGATAAAGTTTGCTTAAATTTTAACATAGTCCAATAATTCATAAGTTGAATACTACTCTTCTCAAAGCTTTAAACTATTTCAAATTATTTACCTTTTTTTGAAACAACACCATCTAGTTTAGTTATTTATTCATATTTCATAGTACATGTATTTGCCATATTGTCATTATACAAACTGAAAATGAATGTTACAGAATTGTGAGTTTTAACTGACCAGAATTTTGTGTCTTTATTTGAGCGAGGGGAATCACAACATTGCCAAGAACTCACATTATTCTTCTGATGGAGGTCAAGACACATTTATTATTTTAATTTCACACCTGACCTCTTTAACTAAGTATATCTCTACAAAGCACCGTACTACTGTGAAATACTTTATTCATTTCAATTCATCCTGCTTGCACCGTTGCATTCTACCATGTTGTTGTTTACTGTCTCTCTCTAGGACCTTGTAAATATTATAATTTTTCACTTTTTGGTACTTTATTTTGTATCCTTATTGCATGCTTTAGTATTTCTTGTTTGTTCTTTGATTTTTTTTATTATTTTTTTTAGCGAGTCAAATCATTTTTTCTCATCCTGAGCACTTCATTGTACTGTTAACCTTGTGTTAACCTTGTGTTAACCTTGTGTTAACCTTGCATTTGACAAATACAACTTGAACTCCACCCCACCTTCGCTCTTCAACTCTTGCATGACTCATTGGGTGCTTAAACTCCATCCCTTTTCATTACTTTGACTCTTTTCAGCTTCTCTTCGACTCCTGTCTTCGCCTGTCGCCAATCTGGCTTCTACTGGTTTTTTTCGTTCTTCTTCTCTCTAGGGAATTCCTCCACCTCTCCAGGTTCTCTTCCACCTGCTCCCTACTCCCACTACAGATCAGTCGTGTGCAAACGCCATAGTTCATGAAAACCTCCTCCCACCTTTGTTTCATTGCCCTCATTTCCTTCACCGCCCTCATACAGTACTTTACCACACCTGACTTCCTCACTCCACTTATTTAGATAATCTTCCTCCATTATTGCTGATGGCCACTTTAATTTGCTAAAACTGTGTTTTTATATTGTTTAATTTGTTTGATAGGTGTTTTCCATAAACATATATGTTTAAAGTAAAGTATAATCACTCATAATAACTCTTTTTATAGATAGATTTTTTTTTTCTCTGATTTGATTTTTTTTTAAAGATATCCTTCATGAATTCATTGGTTTTTAACTTTTCAACCACAAATTATATAAAAGAAACCATGGGATTAGCAAAATGTGAACTTTTAAGACGCAAAAGAGGGTCTTTACTTTATTATTAATAATTGGGGCGGCTGTGGCTGAGTGGTTAGAGCAGTCATCCTCCAATGTAAGAGTTGGGGGTTCGAATCCACCAGCAGTCACATGCCGAAGTGTCCCTGGGCAAGATGCTGAACCCCTCATTGCCTCCGATGTGTGTCCCATCAGTGTACGAATGTGATAAAGCACTGATTAGTCTCTTTGGAATGATTTGTTCAATTAGCTTTGTAGAGATCTAGTAGTGTTGTATGAATGGGTAAATGAGGACACAGATTGTAAAGTGCTTTGAGTGTCTCCATAAAATAGAAAGGCGCTATACAAGTTCAACCCATTTACCATAAATATAAATTTAGATTTCATTAAGCATGCTATAGAGGGTTGCAGGTTCATTTTTCAGATCGTTCTGTGCAGTTTGCACAATCTCCCCGTGCACATGTGGGTTTCATTCGGTTACTCCAAGTTTCCTTATACAGTCCAAAAACCTGCATTCAACCCTCATGACCTGGAAAAGAGACGTGGGCAAAGCAAAGGGTTTGTCCATAATCATCAATAATGCATAACACACATGTTCTTTATGACAAAACGTGTGAAATTCCATAAAGAGGACGTCAAGATGCTCCAGAGCATCCATGCAACACTTTCTAACATGCAGCGTCTTTGGTCAAATAATCCTCTGGCAAAAGCTGAAACACATTACTGCAACACTGTCAGCTGAAAAGGGAAGGATTTACTTTAATGTTCGCCGCCTCACCTTGTGACAGAATGAAAGCGACAGCACCGCAAGGAATTTTCAGGTCTTGAAAGAGTTTTGAGGGATATTTGATATTTGAATGTGCTGCAGGAGTTTTCATCCCATTCTCCGGCTTCTGAAGAGCACCCCCCCCCCCCCCCCCCCTCAGGATTCCCGTGCCGTGACATGGGGTTCTGCTGCAGCTCGTGCATAATTGATCATTTTTATCCAATCCAAAGACGCCCAAAGCGGCAAAAAGAGTTTCAACAGTTTGTGCAAAAGCAGCAATCATCCAGCTGCTGAAGATGTAAAAAGACTTGATCACCTGTTGGACTGATCATGAGTTTTAAAGAATTCCTGCAAGTGTTCAAAGCAACAAACTTATCTTGAAAACAAAATCTAAATCCACTTGATTTTTTTTTTTTTTTTTTACAAAAATTTCAGAAACTAAACCAAAAATATAAAAATTAGTAAAATAAATAAATAAAAGCACACATGACTACAAGATATGAAAACATTTGTATTTTATACTGACAAGTGATTTTTAAAGAGGAGTGATTCTGCAAAATACATTCTGAACTGTTAATATCTTACCTGCTGTAGATGGCCCTTGGAGCAACATGGAGCCTAATCTGGTTAGACTAAAGTGAATTAGTGAATACGTAATGAGTCTCATTAAGCACAAAATAGTTCATAGAGCTATCTGAAACAGGTAAAACATTTATCGTTCATGACCGTTTTTTACAGAAGTAGATCTGAGCTCTCCCTTTTACTGAAGCTGAGCACACTAATCAGCTCTTTAACTCCTCTGACCTTTTTTATTTCACTTGATTTATATTTCATTCTGTTAATTACGCTCGCACCTGCAACATATTGATCATTATCTGGGCCCTACCTGGAGTTTAATCTCCTAAAACGAGAGGAATTATTGAGCGTTCAATGACGTCAATTTAAAGTATCAGCCGTTGGATCGCTGAGTGCTTGACTAGATGTTGTTGTGCAAAAAAATAACACAAACTGCAAATAAAACTGACCGTTTTGTCCAGAATGATCTGCAATTTGTTATAAAGGAAAAGATGCAAACTCTCACTGAATAAAACAGATGTTTTTTATTTACAAATGTGTTTAATGATAGTGACAGATTTTCACAATCTATAAAAAATAAATGAGAAGCTCAGGCTGAAACGAAAGGTCATCTTGAACTCATTTTGAATTTCCAACAGATATATCACAACGAATCTCAAGAGGTGAAGGTTTTTTTAACTTAAAATAACAATCTGAAAATCTCAAAAGAGCGTAACATTAAAAATTATGAATCTACAAAACCTGAAGGAAAAATAAAGTGAAAATATTCTGGTGAAAAGGGACAAAACAAATGATTTAAAAACTACTTGGGAAAAGAGAATTAAAAATTAACACTCAAGTTTATTCTTTCTTTTTTTTTTTTTTTTTTTTTAAAAAATAAAATGTTCCTAAAACTCAAAAGAACAATTTATCTTTAATTTTGTTTTCTTTTGGTATTTGGAGTATATTTGTCTTCTAAATTTATTGAAAATCCCACCTGTTTGGACCAAATGGGGTGTCCAAACTTTTGCATATTGGTTTAAAAGTACTTGCTGAAACATCATGGAGACTGGTGGAAAAATTCAGAAGCAAGAAACAAAATCTGAACCTTTTTTATGCATGTTTATGGTTAATGTGTCCTTAAATTAAACGTTTGTAAACAAAATTTGTGAGCAGCTACAGCGTGTTTGTTTACCAATAAAAACAGAACAATGGGGGCGTCTATGGAAGAGCCATTTGGAATCAAAGTCCAACAGTTTGGATGTATTATGTATTTAAGCTAACGTTTGTTGAGTATTCTGCCAAAAATGCTTTGTTTACACTGAGCGCATACCTGCATTTCAGAACTGCACAAATATCTGGAAAACTACTGGCGTAAAAAGTTATTCAAACGGCCCCATTTCATATAATTCAGGATTAACTTTTTCACATTTTGTTTAGTTTGCACTTAAATAATTTTTTTGTACCTGGGAAGACAAAACAAATACCTTGTGTGTTTAAAACAACAAAACGTGTTTAAAAATACATATTTGTGCAAACAAACTCAACATCTCTAAGGAGAAAAAGAGAAACTGAACAACAGCTGTTGCATAAAATATTAATCACCTTCTGTGAGATGAAGCCAACAAAAAAGGTTGTTTTTGTCTTTTAAATAAATTACACTGAACATTGTGAAGGTTAAACGGTGAGTCTCTGGGAACACTCGGGGCGTGTTTACCTACAGGTGAACGGTTTGACTACACGAGTACACCATTTCATTCATCTCCAAACCCTCAGCGGGTTAGTTTCAGAGCAGTAGGATGAACGTTGCAGATGTCGAACCACTGCCGATCCACCTCCCTGTGTGGCAACAAGCCGTTTTGAGGCAGAAAGGGCCGGCGCCAGCGTTCACGGCTGCCCACCACTTGCCAGAACCGCGTGCCCTTGAGCAGAAAGACGGCGCTGTGGGTGTAGGAGAAGTAGGCAGCGTCGATGTTGCCATCTGGATGGTCTCCTCTCTCCACTGGAGGGAAAACGTCTCTGATGGTTTTGGGGAAGCCTCTCACCAAGCTGCTGGTTTTCACACTGAATGCAAACACCTGTTTGGACAGAAAGCTGCCTGAATATGACAAATTATAGAGGAAACGTGACATTTATGTCGGCATGAATACATTGTTTTATAATACAAACGGTACGTATGGCATGGTAATCGTATGGTATCATATGGTGAGACATGAACCTGGGCTGCACCTTTGCTTCCTGTATGTACCCAGTAAAGTCTATACCAAGTATGTATACTATAAGAGCCAAATTTGTACCAAGGACATACTCTTGAAATACAAAAGTTGTACCAAGAATGTACCCAGTAAGTACCAGGTACGCACTATATATGTAGCCAGTATGAGGCTTTTCCTCTTCGTCCAGCCAAGTTCCGTGGCAAAGTACCAGGTACATACCCAGTGTGTACCAGGTCTCTTCAATCTTTAATACCAGGTATGTACTAGCCTGTATAACGATTGCTTCCACAACTTTTTATATTTTACATGTGAGAAGTCAGACTTTCTCATAACATTTGTGATCTTAAGAAATATTTCCTCTGACTTCCTTTCTGTCCAAAGGTTTATTTCTAGTTTTGCTGTTTTTTTTAATAAGCAGTCTGTGACAAAAATGCAATTAGATGTTTTTTTTTTTTTGCTAAATACAAAAACGAACACGCTTTAGCAGACATAAAATCCTATTTTAGCACCATTAAGTACACTGAGTACTAACATACTGAATAGTATCATAGCCCAGTGGTTCCCAACCCTGGTCCTTGAGGAACACCATCCTGCACGTTTTAGTTGTTCACCTGCGTTGACACACCTGATTTGAATGAACAGGTGATGAACAGGCTTCTGCAGAACTTGAAGTAATTAAATCACTGAATCAGGTGTGTGGGAGCAGGAAACTAACTAAACATGCAGGAATGGTGTTCCTCAAGGAACGGTGTTGGGAACCACTGTCTTAGCCGATCATTCCTCTGACAATTGCTTTAACGTATCCCATACATCTGTCTCCAGGCCATTTTGAATAATGTGTGAATGTTTTAAATAACAAAAGGAAATATTTATTTTTGTCAGCACCTAAAGGTTTGGTCTGTTAAACTTAATACAGTTTTCCAAAACAAAACGTACCTATTTACTTTTAGAGATTGTTCAAAGATTTAAAGGGAAAAAAAACTATGTAGGCCCCTCCTCCTCCCTCTCTGCTGTGCTTGTGTTTAGACTTTAGAGCTCTCTTTGACCACAGTAACTGTCAAAGCTAAAGTAGTAAATCCAAAAATCTGATAATAAATTGGTGCAGATTTATCACTTTGAATATTATGTGTCATTTAAACATTTTTTATTACTAGAGTGCCTTTGAAGAAGTAAATGAGGGAGTCCCTCCTGTTGTAAAAGGCTGTGTCGATGGGACTGGGCACCCCGGGGAAACCTTTAGAAATCCTCCTCGGGTACGGCTGACCATCAGAGTCCTTAATGAACACCTGGTCATTCTCATTATCATATCTCCAAAACTGAGTACCTGTTAAGAAAAAAGAAAACGACCAATTATCTGCAACGTCGAGAGTCGGATCATTTTCAGAAAAGCGTTCATTTACCTTTGAAAAAGTAAACGTCATCTCGTTTCCTGGACCACACGTGTACGTGTGCGTCTACTCCATCACTGGGAAGCCCGTGCCAGCCGATGTGCAGCGCAACCGGATCACCGTAACGCGTTCTGTTGTTGCTGTTCTCATACAGCCAGTACCAGCCGTCCCTCATGAAGTACGTGTTGAAGCGGACGATCACGTCTCCGTAAGGCGTCTTCTCCTTCCTGATCCAGTCGAACACGGTGTCAAATCGACCTTTGCACGCACCTGGAATCAAACCGTTTGATTTCGTTAGTTCGTTCCCGTGAATCTCTTCAGTTTCTGTGCATCCTGCAGGGGATGAGATAACTCTGTACCATACAGATGCTGTATAGCCTTTCTGTCCATCCAGTCCATCTCAAAAGTTGACTCGCGAGGCAGGTAGCTGGGCTGCATTATAGACCCCGGTCTGTAGGTGTGGGGTAGACCCAAAACATGACCAATCTCATGAACCGCCACCTAACGTGCAGGAAATTCAACGTGCTGTTACTAGACCTTCAACGTCTCCTTTCATTGTCCTTGATTTGCTGCTTACTTTAAGAAGGCTGATTCCACTGTGGGAGCTGGGAGCAGTGAAGTGCTCATCATCGTCAAAGTGTATATCACCGAGGAACCAGGCATGAGCAAACTCCTGTCCCGTTCCGTCAAACCTCTGACTGCATCCCAGATGCCTTCCTGTGCAGAGAACGAAAGTCCAGAATAATAGAAAGCACTGATTGCTTTCTGCAGTGCAGTATTCAACACAACAACCAAGAATTGGGATTTCTGAAGGACTTTTCTTTGTAAAACTAGATTTTTGATCAGAATCAGAATAAGCTTTATTATCATTGTCCCGAAATAGTGAGATTATTCGTCCAGTCGTCCGAAAGATGGGCGGAGTGCACGTTGCTGCTGCTCCCGAGAGCGCGGCCCCGTATCCTTTTTCAGAAAACTTTTTTTTAAGATAGAAAAGGGGAAAAGGTCATGAGAATAGGATAGTGGTATTACAAAAAAGATCTCTTCACATCTCGCCCTTAACAAGACACGATTTAAGACGTCAAAAAAACTCTTACCAGCAAGTACATTATGAACACGTTACACACGCATTTCATGGCAAGACGGTGAGATTCGTCCATGAAGCACTTCATAGTCCTGATAAGATGTTGGTGTCAGCCGGTAAACCTTCACAGAAGTTCTCGGGGGGGGGGGGGGGGGGGGTGTTGGTTGGATTGACAAAACTTTTTTTTGTTTACCCATGTCCCAGGAGAAATTTGATGGGGAGTCGGATTCAGATAAGGCACAATTATTTTTTTCATGTCCGCCTTGAGTCCTGCCGGTACTTTTGATCCAAAATGGCCAGATTTGTGGGCATTCCACTGCTCAGTGCTCATGAGCCCCCTCCAAGATCGTCCCCAGCATGCTGGCGAGTCCCAGAAGCCACAGTTTGCCTGCGATTCTCACACATCACTTCTATCTTATGGTTTCGCTGGTAAATCAGCTGATTTTTGAGTAACCGGTGATAATAAATGTGGCAGTTTTTTTTTTTTTTCCTCTTTAAAACATTTTAGAGATGCTTCTGTTTTTTTTATCAAGTAAAATTCTTCCAATTAAAGTTTGGAATGAACCAGCTTTCCTTCGAGTTTTAGTGATCCCATGAAGGAATACGTTTCACCGGCTGCCTTTCTTGACAGATGATTAATTTAAGATGGCTGCCCAAGCTATATCTCACAAAATATAATAAACCTCGGAGTTTGTGTTGAGGATGACTTTCAGCTACTACCACGGCAAACTTTAGCTCAAAATCTGTCAAACTGACTGAATTACAACCATTTTAGTGATTTTTTTTTTAAAGTCTCCTGTTATTATTTATTTAAATCCATCCAGTGGTTCATTAAATATTTTGCTAACACACAAACACAGACATAGGCAAACACTTTATTGCTTTATCTCCTTAGACAGTGGGCGATTAAAAATGATTAAAATGTAGAAATGGTGGAGGGAACTGCTCTGCCCAGGAGTGATGCTCCCAGTGTTGGTGCTCTAACTGATTCAGATCTACATCTTGACCCAGTTTGAGTCACCAGGGTTCAAACATTGCAAATAAAATCTACTTGTACATTTCGAGCGTCTTGGCTGCTGCCTACCTGTGCCAAAGCCCAGCTTGACGTCAATGTCCTCCAGTGGCGACCACACGTCCTCCACAAACTCCAGCGGCGACACCTCGCTCCACATCCGGAAGGCCAGCCTGAAGATGTACCTCTGCTCCTCGACGGTCAGCTGACTGCTGTAGCCTTCTCCGATCAGCCGCCACTTCAGCACCGTCTTGGAAAAAGCCATGAATCCAGATTCTCTCAGATCTCTCTTCTGACGCCTTTCTGACACAAGGACGGCCAGGTGACGCTTTTTACGCCGAACTGCTTCGCTCTGACTTGTGTCCAGGCCTACGCGTCCCATTTCACCATCACTGGAGCCGTCTGGCTGTGTCGTATTCACGTTTGTATCGTTTGAAACGTCTACGAGGAGACTTTGTGTGTTGTTAAAACTAAATATTTCATCGTCAGAGTAATTGGCAGAGCTGATGAAACGGTCACTTGCTGTGTTGTTGCCGTCAGTCTCGTTAAAACTACCGGTCTGATTGTTCTCAGGTTCCACAGGAGCGTTCAGGTCCATCTTCTTGTCGGGGACGCCACACCTCGGTTTGTTCATCGCCTCCCTGGTGGCCTCATCGAACACGCCTGTAACAGGCAGCCCCGACACCCTCTGAAACTCTTTAAGGGCTGAAATAAAAGCTTGATTCTCAGCTCGGTTTTTGTGGACATCACGACCACTTTGAGGAGCATCTCTTGAACGAGACACTGAGGTCTCCTCCTGGATTCTAGCTTGTAGGTCATCCAGAAAGTCATCTGGGGAAGAAGCGTCCGAATCCTCAAACTCGTCTTCCTCCCAGTCGACAGGCTTGATGAACCCGTATCGAGAGAGAAATAACTGAAACAAGACCCAGAATTTAATCCAATTAACACTTTAATAAAACTGGAAACATATTTATTAAATGCTGACCTTGCTGATTTAAGCTGTGACAGCCATCTTGAATTGGATCAACTCCAAAAGTTCATCGGTTGAAGGTGTAAACACTTTCTGACCATTTCATTTAAAATCTATCCAGTGGTTCATGAGATATTTTACTAACAGGCAAACAGAATTTACTCCAACAGTTAATGCTTAAGTTAAATAAATATACCATTCAAGGTGTAGTGTTTATAGTATGCAATATGTATGACTCTCAGCTACTACCACACCAAATTACAACTACCATATTTTTTGGACTATAAGGCGCACTTAAAATCCATTTAATTTTCTCAAAAATCGACAGTGACCCTTATAATCTGGTGCACCTTATGTATGAATTCTGGTTGTGCTTACTGACCTTGAACAGATTTTATGTGGTACACGGCGCTCAAAAATCTGTCAATGTTTTAGCTTCGCTTAAGGCGCCTTATAGTCCAAAAAATACGGTAGATTTCTGTCAAATTAGCCGAGTTATTGGAGTTTTAGCACTACCCAAGGTTGGTTTGTGGTGGTGGCCATCTTTAATTGAGTTGATATTTAAATTTAAATAGTTGTAAAGGTACATCGAATGATTATTTCCTGAAAATTTCATTAAAATCTGTTCAGTCATTCATGAGTAGGCCTGTCACGATAACATTTTGCTGGGTGATTAATTGTGTCAGAAATTATTGCGATAAACGATAATATTGTTTGAAATTTAACAATTGTCAAATTTTAGGAATGTTTTGTTTGGTGTGTAGTACCTTTTTATGACCACCTGATGGCAGTGTAAGACTGAACCAAAAGATTGACAGTTGAGCAGATTGTCTCTTTTGTGATAAATGGGAGGGACGACCTTGACGTGACATTGTGACAACATGGCACTGGAGTTGAGCCTTTTGTCATCCAATGTCTTCAGTAGAAAGAGAGAAACACAAAGAAACAATAAAACCAGTGAATGAAAATGAGGTTGATAATTTTCATTCACCATGCGATTAATTGATTTATCGTTTATCGCGACAGGCCTATTCACGATATTTTACGAACGGTAAAATTTTAAACAAGTACCTTGAGCAACGTATTTGAGCTCGGGACATGAGTTTTTAAATTTTAGCTAAATATCTGTAAAACTGATTAAATTATGGCTTTTTTTTTTAATGTTAAGGATTAAGTGGCTGTGGTGGCCATCTTAAATTGAACTACCTCTAAAGAAGGTAAACTGTTACAGATGCACATCTTCTGCACGTTTCATTAAAATTCTTCTAGTAGCTCATGAGATATTTTGCTAACAGACACCCACACGGGTAAAATCATAATCTTAATGCGTTTCGGCGTTCAGAATTTACCTCCGCTTTAAATTCATCCACGACGACAGGAGCTTGGTGCGACAGTGGCGCCCGCACGTCCGAATGATCCCGGTTATGGAAAAGCTTCTCGGCGCCGTTTGAGTTGGTGAGAAGGAGCCAAGTGATCAGCTGCATGAAGGTCAGCATCGTGTCCTGAACGTGGACAGAACGTGATCGGACCCGGAGCACCTCTGCTTTATAAAGTAAACCCGGAGCTCCTCCACACCCACGTGAAGGTGCCACACTTTTCTCAGCTGTGGGTGAAAAGTAAACTCGTTTTAACTTCATCGGTTCGACGGACGTGTCACTCGCGCTCCGACGACTTTAATGAACCGTCGCTGAGCTGTGGAGGAAAGCTTCACTTCCATCTGAACAGTAAAAGATGTGAAGGAACTTTTTACAACACCCGTTCCAAACACTTCAGTACTCAAGAACAACAACAACAACCATTTTCTTTCTGACGGAGCTTTTATTTTGAAAAATACTTAACATTGGACTTAAGTACGAAACGGGAAAAATAAAGTGAGTTGTTGTGACCCATCACATCAAAGATTAAACCACATTTGGTCAAACAGCTGAAATTAGCTAAAATATGCTAGAAAGGTAGCTTAAGTTAGCACAAGCTTAAATTACCAAAATGAAGTGGAGAGAGCACGTGTGTGCGCAGTTAGGCTGAAAGAAGCAGAAAAAAAGTGGAAATTATCTGAAAAAGGCTGATTTAGCAAAAGCAGCTGAATAGTAGCTAAAATGGCAGCAAGAAGCTTAAATTACCAAAAGGAACTGGAAAGTGCACATTTTTGCTGAATTAGGCTTAAAATTTTGACGAGTGCAAAAAAAACGTAGAATTAGCTAACAAAGCTAAAATTAGCATAAAAACAGCTGAATAGTAGCTGAAGCTAAATAGTAGCTGAAATTAAAAAAACGTGTAAAATAAGCTGTATATGCTCCTTACAGCTTATTACTGCAAGTTTTTTTCTATAAGCTGAAATTAGCATAAAGAAGTTAGAAGTACAACAATGGTGTAGCAGAATAAAGCCGAAAGGAACACAAAACGGCTGAAAAAAGTTTTTTTGCTGAAAGTAGCTGAAAATAAAGTTTAAATTTGAACAAAGAAGCTGAAGCAGAACAAAATGTGAAAGGAGCAGTAAAAGGTCGTAAACACATCTAAATATTTGAAGGATGCAAAATGAGCTCAATTCATTTTCTATGAGAAAGTGGCAGAAAAGGCTAAATGTTTCAAAAAGCTAAAGTTACACCAAAACCAAAAGTCACAGCAGGATTGTCCCGAAAGAGATGAACATTTTGAAATAAGATTTGTTGAAGTAGCACAAGGATTCCTTAGATGGAGAACTTTACTAATTGGCTTTAATGTATGTGAATGTTCCTGTAAAGTGCCCTGAGACAACTTTGTTGTGATTTGGCGCTATATAAATAAACTGAATTGAATTGTGGAACGAGAGCGATGCCAAAACGTACAAAAGAAAAACTGATCACAATAGTGTGAACACTTCATAAACGTTCACACAATAAATACATGAATAAACGTAGAGAGAATAGAAAGTGTGTTTGGATGAAAGAACCGGTGCCTCCGGTTGGTCACCGTAGAGCTTTCGTTATCGCTGCGGCCAAATGTTGGGCTGTCGGCTTCTCGGCGGTGCAGCTCACACGCAGACCTTCGGCTGCCATCGCATCCCGTGTGGTTGGCCCGATGGCTGCGAACTGGGGAAAAAAAAAACTCTTTGAGGCACCGAAGATATAGTGTATTTTTTTTTTTTTGATAAAAAAACCGCACCTTTATGTGAGTGAGCTGATCACCTGACAGCCTTCGTACGGTTTCCAGGCAAAACTTAACTCCAGACGGGCTGAAGAAACAGACGCTCGCGGGAATGCCCTGCATGTGCACCAATAAATCCAATAAATAAAAAAATGAGAGTTCCTGAAGGAATGCATATCACCCGCCACATTTCCTTCTGGTTTTCAACTACGATCATCTTATGATAAGAAGGAGTGGAGTTATTTTTTGATCAAATCTTGTGAATAATGTGAGATCCTGCAAAATATGGTAGAGCTCAAAGTATTGAGGAAGATTCGCAACTACTACACCGTCACCTTTAGCTCAAAATTTGTCAACTAGACTGAGTTACAGCCATTTTTGTATTGGTTGAAGTCAATTAGCAGTGGCAGCCATCTTGAACTGGAACGACTCCAAATGTTAATCAGTTGAAGATGTACAACCAGTCCACACTTTCTGAGAGTTTCATTAAAACCAGTCTAATGGTTCATGAGATATTTTGCTAACAGTCAAACAGGGTTCACGCCAACAGTTAGTTTTAATCAAACACATGCAATGCATAGCACTCTGAATGTGTTCTGAATTAGCTTTAGCTTCTAACACACAAAATGTTAGCAAAATATCTGCAAAACTGGCCGAGTTGTCAATTTTCTGTCCTCTAGGATCAGTAGGTTGTGACAGCCATCTTGAATTGTGCTGATGTACCATTATATTCTGAAAGGTTCTATTTGACGAGATATTAAGCTATCGTTAGACAAACGCATAATATTGAACATTTGTTAAATATAAAAATGGATTTAAACCCAAAGTGAGTTCACCTGTTCTGTGAAATAGTTGTTTAGATTTGTCTCCAGATCAGGATGTTCAGCGGTTTGATAGACAGTCAGCGTCTCCAGAGGAACTCCTGGAAACAGAGACGGATCCCCACAGTGGCAAAAGGTAACGCAATTACCATTTTGTTAATTAGCCTATCCCCAGCGGGTGTTTTATCGACCTGAGCTTTAACTGTGAGACACAAAAGAGGAGAATGCTCACCGTGTTCCCTTAAAGCTGTGGGCAAGACTTCTCTTTTAATTGAACCACACGGGAAAAAGAGCGGCGGGATATTTTTATCCTCTCCTAAAAGAATCACGCATCAAGTCATTTTAGGACAATTAACAGATTCTATTATTTCATGTTTGATGATTAATGAGTTAAAAAAATAATAAAACTGCAGCATACTTTGGATGATGAGCCGCGATAAGACGTCTGCCGTCCCCGCGTCCTCTCCCACGGGCTTCAGACCCAGACTTTGGACTTCGTGGAGCAAATCATGAAAATGAACAAAGACGTTCAGAGAAAACCTTCACTTAAAAAAAAAAAAAAAAAAGTCAAGAAACAAAACATCTGGTAGAGCGTTTCACAACTCACGGGAGGCTTGGAAACACGATTAAATTCATATCGGTTAACATATTAACATCATTAAAAGTTTTTTTTTTTTAGAGTCTGAAAAAAGGAAATGTCTCTGTCCACGAGTGACGAGGTTGATAAACTGTAAAATAAAAATTTTAAATTAAAACAAGCACATTTTCCAAGCCCGAACTTTTATAAATATGAGGTATTAGTGTCTGAAAAAAGGGCATTTCTCCCCTTGTCAGTTTCAACATAAGTTAAAATGATAATAAAGTTTTATTTAACTAACCCGCCTGCTGCCCTTGGGTCAAAATGACGCACGAGGCTTCAGTCTTAAAACTCAGGACTCGTGGGTCATTTTGACCTAAGGGCAGCAGGAGGGTAAAAAAGCAGAATCACAAATAAAACCAGCACTGGCAAAAAAAAAACTACAAATCTATACCTCGGGTAAATAAACAAGTGATTTTTATATTTCAGTAATAAGTATTAATATTTCGAAAACAAGGTTTTGTAAAGTTTGTATATGAAACTTTTCAAAAGTTCTGGTAGTTTAGGCTACTGTTTGGGTTTGACCCATTCATGTGTGTTGACTAAAGAAGGGACTGGAATGTGGAAGTTGAAGTCACAAAGAGCGCCCTCTAGTGGCTGGCTGCAATAAATGCTTTAAGTCCCACCTCCTGTGTAAACAAATGGGGCATTTAAAAAAAAAAATCAAATTGCACTTCATATATCACTAATTTTTTTTTACATTTATTTAATTCTTACCTTGCAACTGTGTGCTTAATATGCATATTTTTTAAATATGATTTTAGTTTCAATTAGTTATTTGACTCTTTAAAAAAATGTCATGTTACACTGTGATCAACAGCTTAACGCGTTGGGCAGGTGTGTAGGTGTTCACGCTGAACTGATTGCTCTGCCTCAGCTTGTGGACCCTGGCTCCAAAAATACAATATGGCGGCAACCACAAAAATCCCCAGAAAACCTGGCTTCAATTCTGAACAACGGCTGAAACGCTTCGTCCATCTTTACAGTTGGCAATGATTTGACCAGAAAATAAAAAGTAACTGGACTCCCTGGTCACTTGGACTAGACTTTAGCCTTGAAGTAATGTTTTGACCTTATTCTCAACAATTTTAATGTTGATTTCATAAATGTCAAAACTGGGAAACAAAAAAAATTATTTTATCCCTCTTCAAAGCTAACCTGGGGTCCTAACCTTATGGACACACTGTATTCTAGACTTGGTTTAGGTTTACACTTCAGACCTGTCTAAAGCTTTTGACACTGTGACATCTTGTGTCATAAGCTCTCAGAACACACTTACATTTCTACGTTGACGACACAGTCGTTTACTGTCAAGTTAGAACCGTTGCTAAAGTTTTCCATCTTTTACAGTCTGCATTCAACATCATCCAGTCAGACTTCTTCCGTCTCAAACTGGTGCTAAATGCGGAGAAAACCAAAAGGATGTTGTTTTCAAGCAGGAAGATGGTACCAATAGTCCTTCTATCTTATCTACGAATGGTGTTCCTACTGAGTTTGTCGATTCTTACAAATACTTGGGAATTATGGTTGATGTGCATTTTTCTTTTAAGCCTCACGACGAAAACTTGGTAAAGAAACTGAAAGTTAAACTGGGTTTCTTTTTCAGAAATGGATCCCGTCTAACTCTGAATGCTAGGAAACACCTTGTAACTGCGATTTTCCTTCCATCCATTGACTACGGTGACATTATTTACATGAACGCTGCACCCTGCAGATGTTGGATGCTGCCTATCACGGTGCACTAAGATTCATAACTGGCTGTAACTACCTTACCCATCACTGCACCCTGTATTCATTTGTTAGCTGGACATCATTAACCACGCAGACTCTCACTGGTAAATTTTCATCTTTAAATGACATCTTGGTCTGTTGCCTTCATACATCTCCTCCTACATGTCACGTTGTCAGTGCAGTTACAGCGTGCGCTCAGGACATCATTACCTGCAGTGTCCCCTCAGTGTAAAGGGTCTTCTCCTACTCCGCTCCTGGAACACCTTGCAAAAAGATCTGAAGCTCTCGACTTTGACCTCTCTAAGGGATTTTAAAGAACTGCTAAGTTCATGGCAAAAACCAACAGACATGTTCCTGTTTTAAGTATTCTACAGCGTTTCATAATGTAGCTTGGTTTTTTGTTTTATGTCACTACTTTTATTTACTTTTCATTTTATATGCTTTTTATGACTTGTTTGTTGTTGTGTGTACCTCATCTGTGTTTGTTTTTTCCTGTTTAAAACGGATCTCTCTTGAGAACGAGTCCTTGTGACTCAGTGAAACAATGCTGAACGATGAATAAGATTTGTGTGCAAAACCACAATCTGCAGGTATTACAGCGGTTTGGTATTTGAAGTAAGTTGAAACTGAAACCCTTTCGTTTGTTAGAAAAACAGCCACAAAGTCCTGAGCGGGAAAAGCCTCTCTGCAAGCAAGAAGGGATAAACATTTTCCTCAACGTCTGTGGTTAGTGGAGCCAGATAAACTGAAGTTAAACTGTTTTCAACTAAATCAAACAACAATAAAGAAAGAAGTCAAAGGAAAGCAGCTGCTCGTTTCCTGAAGACCTGAACTGGTCTTTGTGGTTGGCAGCAAACTGTCACTTGTGTATAACATCAGGCTGACGGTGGTCACACCGCTTTACACACAGGTGTGCGTCACACTCTGACACACTTACAATTAGTTTATAAGGTGCACGAGTCGTAAAGAACCTTTAGAAAGTTCCTTTACAGATGAAGTAGGAACTCACCTAATGCTGCAGTCGCCTTCCCAACCACGTAGATGGACTTCGTGTTCCAGTTGTCTTTTACGTGTCGGTTCCATTCTGAGTCCAAACAATATTCAGTTTAATATTAGGTTTGGTTTCTCTCTTTGTTTCATGAGATAAATTCACCTCGTCTCCTTTCTTCTGCTTCTAGACACATCTTCACAGCCTCCACTGCTCTCGGACTGGTAAATATCAAGCCACCGTGATTCTCTGGATGGAAAAGCTAAAAACAAAAGGGAACGTTTAAAAAAAGTTAAAGGCCAGAAGACGTGATTATACCCCGCCGATTTTTCATACCAGACTTTTAAACCAAGATCTCATGTTGAGAAATGACTTTAAAATAAATGTGAAGCGATACCACAAGTGGTCCGGCTCAGAGTATGTGTTGTAAATGACTCTCACCTACTACCACATTAAATTTAAGCTCAATATTCATAAAACTGACAATGTTGGAGCCATTTTTGTGTTGGCTAATGTGGATTACTTATAGCCACCATCATGATTTACTTTGATTTCAAAATATAATAAACTAGATGCACATCTAATAAAAAAAATTCTGAGAGTTTCATTAAAATCCATCTAGTGGTTCATGAGCTATTTTGCTAACAAAAACAGGGTTAACTCCAACAGCTAGTTTTAAACTAAGATTTTGTTCAATGTGTAGCCCTTGGAGTACGTGTTATGAATGACTCTTAGCTACTAATTTTAGCAAAATATTGGTAAAACTGACTCTAATATGGCCTTTTTTATAGTTTTTAATGATCGTGGCTGTGGGGATCATCTTGAAGTGGAACGACTCCTTAAGTTAATCATTAGTTAAGACATGTGCAGTCAATATTTCTTGAAGGTTTCATTAAAATCCATCCAGTGGGAGATGAAATATTTTGATAACGGACACACAGACCAAGCAACAACATTACTGTCCACCCTCGCCTTTCAGCAGCAAAACGCTCGACCCATAAAGCTTTTGACATTTAGATAAATAACTTTTGGGATTTATTTACCTTATCCAACAAGGTGTTTAACGAAACAAACCTAAAGGACAGAACTGGAATCGGGGTTGCTTTGTGTCCTCGTGACTCCAGCTCCTTTAAAGTCAGAGCACAGAAAAATAAAAACTATTTAATAAACTGCTTTAACATAAACTATGGACATATTCCTAAAAGCTGGTGGATTTTAGGGAAGATTACATTTACCTTTATGTAAGGATCAGGTCCAGACTCTGCTTCTCTTGGGTCTTTAAGAAGTAGCACGTGCATCCTGACATAGAAAGACAATTAAATGTGTTTTTAACCTGATGCTGCTGAAAAAGCTGCAACTTTCAGGAACTGAAATGAGCTAAATCCATAACAGAGGGTGTGGAGGCTCTTTAGCTCAGCTACACCCAAGTAACTGTCACATGCACATTCATGATAGCAACACTGCTGAGTCACGATTAGATAGAAATACATTGACATTGTGCAGCTAAAGTCAACGAGTCGGTTTGTTATTGTTTACATTAGCAAAACACATTAGGTGACAAAATTAGCCACCGTGACATCCCTACAGACAGAACCAATAGAAAACTTTAAGTTATATAAAACTATTACATTGTTTAGCATTTATAAAGCCACAATATGAGCAACAATAAAAGGTTAAAAAGACTAAATTAACGTCACGTACCTTGCGCTGTTCTCGCAGACGACTTCATTCTCTGGGTCAAAAAAGGGTGTCCAAAGATTGCCTGTTCGAAACTTTTTATGAAATGTTGAAAAAAAAATCAAATTTAGCTTGTGATATATTTAAATATTACATTTATACATATGTACAGTATTTATTTCAAATAAGTACTTGCTACGTTGAAACAAAGCTGTCAATTCTAATGAATGACGCTACACCTCGTTGGTTTATTCCAGGTCCTTTTCCTGTTGAACTTTAACCTTCGCCACGCCTACTAAAAATAATACACACACACACACGTGCTTTTACGCTTCAACATGGCGTCGTCTGCTAAGAAGAGAGCAATGGGTATGGGTGAAAAACCCAAAGAAAGCGAGAACAGCTCGGAGGAGAATTCGGAGGATGAAGACGAGTCTGGGGAGGACGACAGCGACGCGTCGGAGGAAATCAACGAGGTAGCAAAGCTGTAAAACGATACATAATTAGCCTGCAGCTAAGCTAGCTAGCTAGCAATCCGTGATACAAGTGGCTCGCTAACATTATTTTTTAGTTCTTAATTCCCGTAACCTTATCTTGTGCCTCTTCTGTTTTTTTGTTCACGTCCAGGATGTCATGGTGGACTTTGAAGCTCACTCTATTTCAGTTAATGACTTCAACGGCATTAAGAAACTGTTGCAGCAGGTGCGAACCCGCGCGTTAACAGCCAGCAATATTAATAGTAACGTTGGTGTCATTGATGTCAATTTTCTTATTTTTGTATATACAGCTCTTTCTGAAGGCTCATGTAAACACGTCAGAGATGACTGACATCATCATCCAGCAAAACCACATTGGAAGTGTCATCAAGGTCTGTGCTGGTCTTTAGTGGTAATTAATTTGATCCAGCTCGTGTTGATGACTGTGCTTTCATTTGACAGCAAGCTGAAGTTCCAGAGGACAGCGATGATGATGACCCAGATGAAGTGTTTGGCTTCATCACTGTGCTCAACCTCACAGAGAGAAAAGTAAAACCTTCATTTATCTGCTGGATTAACAAGGAAGCAAACATATGGGGTATTACTCGATCTGATCCTAAATGCGGTGTTTTTGCAGGGCGTCCAGTGTGTGGAGCAGGTCAAGGAGCTGATCGTGGACCAGTGTGAGAAGAACGCTCCTCACAGTGTAACGGAACAGCTGGAGCAGATCCTGAATGACACGACCAAGCCTGTGGGGCTTCTGCTAAGTGAACGCTTCATCAACGTACCGCCACAGATCGCCCTCCCTCTGCATAAACAGCTCCAGTGAGTGCCGCTTTCTCCTTATACTAACATTGATGGGGATGTGGGGAGTTGTGGCGCAGAGGTTAGAGAAGATGGGCCAGTAATCAGAAAGTCGCAGGTTCAACACCCGGTACCATTGATGTCAAAATGTGGGTGGAAAAGGTGAAACACCCAAACCTCCCTCCACCCTCATTTGCACCAATCTGGGCCCCTGAGCAAGGTCCTCAACTCCCACCATCTGCTCCCAAAAACAGGTCTCTCTTGAAAATCAGTTCTCGTAACTCAATGAGACTACCTGTATAAATTAAAAAATATATATATATTCCATTGTCCTTTTTAGGGAAGAAATGTCTGAAGCTCAGAGGACGAATAAGCCCAGCGGGAAGTGTCACTACTGCCTGATGATCAGCAAGACGTGCAAAGAGGCGACCAAGAATATCCCGGCCAGAGGAGGAGCTCCGAAAGAGGAGTACCTGTTCGTCAACGCAGAGGAGGAATTCTTTTACGAGGTAAAGTCGATCAGTCCGGGGCAGCTGAAGATTTAAACTAAATATTTATTCACGTAAATAAGAATGAATGTTTTATTTGTTGTTTCAGCAAGCCGCCCTGAAGTTCCACTTCTCGGTCCAGGAAGATGCAGATTCCTGTTTGAGTGGCAGGTGGTCGTTTGACGACGTCCCCATGAAGCCTTTCAGGACGGTGATGATGATCCCCGCGGACAAAATGCCTGCTATAATGGACAAACTGAAAGAATACCTGACTGTGTGAAATACTCTTGAGACTCGTGTGCACACGGAAGAGCTGCAGGTTCAAGATGCTTTCTGGTTTATCTAAAAAGTTCATCTCTATCAGATACCTCAGTGTCCGTATAATTGCACTTTCCATCCTTTAACACCTTTTTCACTGACTTATTTTACTGCATTGTATCAGAAAATAAATGTGCATCAGTGTAGAATTTGTCAATACAATTGGATTTACATAATCCCACTATAATGGCTTTTAAATACCTTTTTTTTTTTTTTTACATATTAAAAATGACAACTTGAAGTTTTCTCCTATAAGATGTCACAATATTGGGATTTTGGCTCAATTAAATGAAAAGCTTTTCCTCTGCATTTTCGGGGCATTTTTGTAGAATTGTAACTGGTTTCAAGAAAAGTCTCGAGTCTTCCTCAAAGGACAGTTTGTGTCACAAAAAACTTCACTTGAACAAGAACTAATGTTTGAGAAAACTTGGGGAGGGGTGTTAACCATAACTAAGCCATAATAATAATGTCATCACTGTATGTTTCCATACAATGGCAAAACTAGTCTGCATAATATAACCACATGAATTCATTCAGTTTTAACTCTTGGAATGATTGAAAAGTCATTAAATATTTAATTTAACATTTGTAAATCTTGTTCATTTGTAGCTCTTCATTTTATTGTCTTGGTTGCTGCGTTCCTGCAACCAAGAAGATCTATTTAAACTAAAAGTAATGACTGGCTAGAATTAAAGCTGCAGACGTGTCAAAGTATCATAAATTTCTAAATATTCAGAAAGTGTTTGACATCCTTCATGTAGTTTATCTGAATACAGTGTGTTTAAATGGTAATCTGTAGCATATTTCCCTCATCGTTAACCTGAGCCAGGTAGTGTTTTACATCAGATGCTCCTCCTGACAACCCACACTACGCGGAAAATAATCTCTGCCCTGATTACCGTAATTTTTCTTTTGAAACAAATGTTTTCATATGAATTTTGAGAGGGAAGAATATATCCCTTTTAACCCCTTGTACACTTTTTCAGCGTTCTTTATTTCATTCACATCACGTGGTACGAGGTGTAACGAAATTGGGTACTCAAGGTCCCAGTTACACCCAAAAATGTAAAGTATAAACAAGGAAACTACAAGGATCCAAGATATATGCTAAACGATAATTATGTAATATAATACGGTGTATTAAATGGTTATTATGGAACAGTTTTTAAGGATCTCTGCGCATGCGTAAACTTTGGCAGCCACATATCTATTAGTAACTGCGGTAAGAACGTAAAAAGGAAAACCGTAAGAATTAAAAATATATATATTTCATAATATAAGGTCAGAGACGAATAAAACCAAAACAAAAATTAATAATTAAAAACCCCTAGTAATTAGCATTATGTCGAGGGCTTTGCACATGAGCACTGGTATCCGTGCAAAAAAAAAAAAATAAGGCATGTCCTCGTAAATTATATTTTTTTCTAAATGCAAACTCCTTTGGATATCCAGAATCCACCTCCTTCCTCCTCAAGGACCTGAAAAACCACAAATCAACAGTGAACAGGAGCAGTTATGGCTTGTAAGTGCAGTTGTCTTCCAATGTGGGTTGGAGGTTTGACTCCACCAGCAGTCGCATGCTGAAGTGTCCCTAGGCAAGACATTGAACCCCTCATTGCCTCCGATGTGTGTCCCATCGGTGTATGAATGTGATAAAGCACTGATTAGTCTTTGCATTAGAAATACAGGTGTTGGTCATAAAATTAGAATATCATGAAAGTTTATTTCAGCATTTCCATGCAAAAAGTGAAACGTATATTCATTCATTACACACTGATATATTTCACGTTTATTTTAATGTTGATTATAACTGACAACTGATGAAAACCCCAAATTAAGC